GACGAAGCCAGGGGAAAAAGTGTAGAACTATTCCTGCTATAAATTGTTGGGTATGCATTCAAGCAATTTGTTTGTTTGCCGTTTTACTTTGCATGCCATAAATATTTAAGATAAATTTCTGTGTCAGTTTCGTCACTGTTATTGGCTTTTAGACTCTAGAGAAAATACTTTGTTGTGAAGGAGGATTAAAAGAAAAATTTCGAGTTAAATGTTGCATACACGACTCTTAAATCACGATTTTTACATCTATATCGAGTTTTAATCGATATGTAAATATCAGTCAAATTTAAACCAATTAGATAATTTGGCTTCAACAAATCTTCAAAGTACTGTCACTTTGTAAACAATTATTCCCAGAATTTTGCAAATATGTGTCAAAATGTCATGCACACGTGTGCCCACTTCATTTATAAATGTTCTGTGTGCAATCAAGATAATTACGGCTAGCAGAATATGGTGTTTCCGAATACTATAATGTATTTCTGTGCTTAATTTCAAAAACAGAATCACCCTGATTCCCAGTGTTACAGCCGGCGGTTTGTACAAAATGGCTACCTGCATTAAACCTTTCCATTAACATGCCGTACGCATTTATCAGCGGAGAATCCTAGTGCAGAAGACAGGTCGTACGGGTGTGAGTGTGTAGTGTTGCCATCAATTATAAATCCAGCAGACATTCATATTTTTAATATTTCCAACCAAGTCAGCAATTTTAGGCGCGTTCGTGTCCTGTGGCACTCCTATTAAAATCTTCCGTCTGTCTATCCAAGCGTATAAAAGAGCTCCAGAATAGACAAGCCGATTTTGATTGTTTGATATTGTATGGTTTTTAGAAAAATTGTCGAAACAGAAACATTTTCACTTGTATCAGACAGTTTTAAAAACAAAATGGAAGCGTAAATACATTTCTGAACATGTCTCGTGCAGACGACTTTGCCTTCGTTGTTATGGTTAGCTTGGTTACCTCATTTACCTCGGGAGGTGAATCCCCCCGTGATTACGTTGTCAACCATTCAGATCCCCGCCGACCCAAAAGTAATTTAACTCAGACAAAAGTGACGTCACTGGTGCCGTTCACAAAGGTCAAGGGTCGAATTCTGGTGAACGCGCCACAATTGACAAACTTATCTTTTATACATATCACACCGTACGTCAACAGGACGCGTTCCAGATACAGGCATATTTGATAATTGCTCCCATACAAGTTGTTAAATAGTTAACTACCAAAACGGGGTCAAATGTACCACGGATCAAATTACTTAATTGCAAATGTCGTTCAAGTAGCAGTGTTCCTCAGTTTTTGGAGGGGAAAAACTTAGCCAGTGTTAAAATTAATTTTGGGTTGTTCGAATGTGAAACAGTTTTATTTTACCTCTGCTTTAAAATAAATTAAATTAGCGGAAAATTATAAATTGACAGTTGGAATCTTATGGAGTCAGCATATTCCAGAATGATGATGTCATTGCTGATTTTGATTTTGTCGTGATTAAAATAATTTGATGATAATTTGTAGTTCGAAATGATATGAAGTACGCTGATCTAATTAATATTCTTGTGTGCATATATGTAATGTATTACGCGATATTCTTAGTAATTATTGGCTCACGTATACGCTTTTCATTGCAAGAATTTGTAAATGGGTTTTCTAATAATGCACAAAATGTATGTGGTGAAACAGCTTAATTCGGTTGCAGACGAGTGACGTCTTTCACATCGCCTGCTTTGGCAATGCAACTTAATGATTAAGCACTCGCTCTGTCTCACTTACCAATTCCTTTGAGTACATAAGACACAATCTGTATTACACCATTAGATGGCGACACATCTATGTTGAAACGTAATTAATAAGCACACGTAATTAAACAACACTACAGAGGCATCAATAACTGTCTTGTTTATGATCTTTTAAAACCGGTAGTAACTGCACTGTGCAATTTTCAGCGTCCTGACGGTTTAGGAACCTCAACATTCTAAGATCATGTTCTAATTTCATCTTCGGTAGGATATTATTGTAACTGAGTATAGTTTACAAAACTCCTTTACATTAGAAATCGTGAATCTTTTCTGTTATTATTTCAGCTGAAAATATTTTAAAATGCTGTTTACATAAATGGTAGATTATAGACCGAGAGACTTGATAGCTGCTAATTTAGAAGTTTGGAAAATATGGTACCGTCTGCCTGGATTTTTAGATACTGTTGATTTTCTTCATTTGTATGCCAACTGACTTTTCAGTATTTAATGTCCATGCTCGTTGACACAGTTAAAGCAGTTTCGTATATTGCTAGGAAAACGGAACATAATCTTATTAAACAAATTTAATTCCGTAGAACGTCGTCCCTTACCCTAATGCGACTCGGAATAAAATAATATAATCCTCGAGTTCATAATCTGCGTCCCGACTATGAATTTTAGCCCGAGACATACACGAATAGAGTTTGATCATCTTGATAATCTTCGTGGAGACGTTCACTGAAGCTGTTAGGCCTATATACTGCCGTCGAGAGACGTTTATCAAGTGTTCTTTTGGCGTAAGTTTCGGATTAGTGCTCTTGGACACGATTTTACTGAAGTGGTATGTGTGTAGGCAGCTCAAAGTTCGTTACGAGTAACTACAATTCCCTTAGAAAAGTAGGCTAATTTTAATTCCAAATATTCATGAAATTCCTTTAAGTGCGAATACCTCTCGAAATCGGCTCTCTTACTGTGCTTTGTGTTTTATGTAAAGGCTACCTATAGTGTTTCAAATAATTGTCGGTTTTGATGCACTAATTATGATTTAATAAATAAAAATTCCTTTTACTCGTGAATTCTAGTGAAAATCATAAAATCTGGCAGCCATTGTCACCTCTAAGACCTCCACTTCATTTCCAATCTGTCGAGACAAATTCGTACATTCATAATTAAAACGAAATCATCAAAGCCCTCTAGTGACAATATCAAAACTGTGTCGATATAATAAGTAAAATGTAATTTGTTTTGTAATTTACTGCACATCAAGAAGAAAACTAGCATGATTAACGCAATTCTCAAGTTTTTAAGCATCCTGATATGGAGATGAAGAAACTCGAAACAGTATTTACTGTCAAGAGAAGAAAACAGTTTCAAAGTTTTAAAGTGGTTTTCTGGATGATCAAATCGACGTTTTGAGATAACCAAGGTGTATAAAGCTAATCTCCGTTATGAAATTAATTTCATTGGCCTTTGTCTCGTAGCTTCAGAGTTGCGACTTAATTTTTGTTCTGGAATGTAAGTGAATGAAACACATAGTCTCGAATATATGTCATCGTATACACGTAGAACTGGTCTTTTGTTATGCTGACTGAATCTTCAATAATGTGTTCCTGTCTTGGCGATAATTTGTGTTCTTACAACGTGCCACGTCGCCTTTTACTCGATTCCACAAAATTCCTCAACCAAATCGTCGCTAATGTCCAAAACGTCGTATTCTTAGAAAATGTCTCGGTGCAACCTTGGAAGTTTAACGTTTTATGCACTCTTTTCCACTGCATCGACAAAATTTTTCACGACGTTTCGGCGCGTAAGTGACGATAGTGTCAGGCTTTCTTTCCCACGAAAATTTCCACTGGACATTTGTATTTCACGTATAAATATAATGTTAGGTGGTGTATTGCTAAGTAGAAAACTAATTTATTAGGCTTCTGCTTCAAATGTGTCAGTGACTCTTCAACAGAGATCTAGTATATTTAATTTGCACATAAAAAGGGCATTATTTATATCCATTCTTCGTTCTCACCGAGTAAAGTCTTAATGAATTTGCAAGTATATTATAAGTGTGTACTGATTAAAATACCGCAGTTTAACAGCTGACTGGAATTTCTAATTTGTTTTATGTAATAAACAGAAGCTTCTTGAGTTATCTCGTAAATCTTAGAAAAAGACATCAACACCACAATCAGAACTTTAATTTCCTAAATGCCAGAGTATTTTTACTCCCTTTGTAATTCAGTAGTTTTGTATTTATAATTAAGTTTCAACATGTTTTGTGCTCTCACGAAACCAAATTTTATTTTGAAACCAAATTTTCAAAACGTAGGGTGGAGTCCGAGTTAGGTTTGTTATTGTCGTTCCAAAATGCTTGGACAACAAAAGCGAATAATTTAATTTCGTGATCTTTCTTTTAGTGGTTTTGCTCTATCTCAAGACACGAAATCTTCGTGAGAAAGAAACAGCTTACATGTTCTGAATTGAGGGGCTGGCCACTTCTTCAAGTTCAAAGCCCTCTTAATTGTTCATTCATCTGCAAAGTCTCCAAGGTACTTCGCATTTATTGGCCAAGGAAGTGGCTTATGAATGGAATTTCTGAATTTGCTGTTATAAACGTAAAATGTAAAGAAAAAATTAAAGAAGTGTTGTCTTACTATTCGTAAAGAAACTGGCGCTGGATTCCTTGTATTGGACAGAAAGTGTCTTACAGATTAATTTCACTCCTAAAATTATATACAGGCCTGTATATGTTGTATTAATCACATGAATTTTAACAGCGTTGGTTTATTTTCAGAAAGAATTACCGAACATGCAGATTTTTCCAACTTTCTACCAAAATGCACTAACATCACCACACTGCTTTAAAAGATTTAAATACGCTATTCATAGCACACTGTTTTTATTGAAGTCTTGTTGTAAAATGCTTAGTAATTTATTGCAAGCTTTATCACCTTTGCAATGCACTCAAAATAACTACGAGCTTATTTTAATACAAATTACATAGCCAAAAAATGTTTAAACTATTGTTATTTTGAACTGGTCAGTCTTTCAGTAACATATTAACGTGGTATGTTTATTTTTTAAATGTAGAATGCTCTCTCGTTTGGCTTGATGTTTCTTTGATAATTAGTGTTGTATTGTTCTTAATACGTATTATGTTAAATAGAATTATCAGGAAGAATTTTAGTTTAGATTAGTAGTGTGAGTAGAATCTGAAGACGCCGAATTCGCTTCCATTTTCTAAGTTGTGAAAGATCTGGTTTTTGTTACAGTTATCTGCGCTCAGGGTCTCATAGCAAAGGACAAGAGTGGCACATCTGATCCATACGTAACGGTTCAGGTGGGTAAAGTAAAGAAGAGGACGCGGACCATGCCGGCGGAACTCAACCCTGTCTGGAACGAGAAGTTTTACTTGTGAGTGAATCACGAAGTTTGGGTCTGAGTTGTGCACTGCATTTTCACTTAATTAATATGTAACAATTTTACATCATTTTACAGGCAATGCAGAGTTTGCGTCATAACCGTGTGCATTCGTGTGTCCTAACTTTTCAATTAATTTACGTATCCCGTGACAACATTTATATCGTGTTGTTTTAGGGCATCCAACTTTTATTTTTCTTATGTATAAAACACTTTCATTCTGTTTTCTCTGCGTCTTTTTAATCTTGCAGTGTGACTATGGGAAGCACGTAAAAGAACTGGAACTTGTTGTTTTAACATAAAATTGTCGTATTTGTTTAATGTCGATTTTAAAAAAATTTCTGCGCCATTATTGTAATTTCTAGTGCGAAAGAAAATAAGTATATGGCACCCTCAAGGGCATGTTATCCGTGATATTGCAGACATAAAAATGCATGTATGGGAGCTGTAGGATCTGCCTCAAAAACTGATGAAACTACAAGCCACGATAGCTCAGTCAGTAAAGTGACTATCTGTAGATTGAATAAGCGGGGCGAGTATTTCTTTTCTCATTTCCGCCGCGCCCATTCTGGATCTCGGGGCTCGCCCAACGCCCACGTATTATAGTGGATTGGTTTCTGTGTGGCGACACTGTTTCTTAATGGAATTGCAGCCACAAACGGGATCATTGTCCGACTCTGAGATGTTACATGAATATTGAGTAATGATGGAATCATACTGACAGGTTAAAACCGAATAACTAGGAGAAAAACCTGGTCCAGTGCCTCTTGATCCACCACAAAGCTCAATACGCCGCAGTGGACGTGCAGGACGAACGGAATGCGACTTTATCAGCTCTACTGATCGCGGTTCTGGGGATAGTGTCCAAATCGGGAGACGATGGTTCCCCATTAAAATTAAGATAAAGCAGTTAGTACAATCAACTGTACGTTTGATCAAAGATGTAGCTTGTTCTACGCTTGAAATATGACTATGCTCAATTCCAGACAGCTGGTAAGACGACCTTCCTTATAAAACTATTTTTTTCCCCCGTTTTCAGCGAGTGTCATAACTCCTCAGACCGGATCAAGGTGAGAGTATGGGACGAAGACAATGACCTAAAGTCCAAACTCAGGCAGAAGTTGACTCGGGAATCAGACGACTTCCTCGGACAGACCATAATTGAGGTAAGTTTAACAAAATACCTTCGATTTTAAAATTACACAATGAGGAACCAAGGAATTACCTCAAATGGTAGTGTCATACCTGAATCTCGAATGTACCTGGATCGAATATCGATCGAATCATCGGCTATCGTGACATTTAGTGGTTTTCTTGTTGTTAGGGTAACATTAAACTAGATCCAAACCGCTTCTCCCCCAATATGCATTCTTTCCAGTTGTCTGTGTATTTACAGCCAATGTTATTCGACGTTAAATAACGTTTGCAGTTGATATATCGTCAATAATCATATGGGAAGCAACCGTAATATATTTTTACGAAGGACATGACTATGTACCATGAGCGAACTCTGTTGTGAGGTCAGACAATTAAATAACGAATTTGGCAGCACTGCTAATTGTGATAACTCGTGGTCACTGGTGAGTGCTGCCATCTTTAGGTAAATGTGTGAACTCTATACAGTAGCTATGCTTTATCGCATGCGCAAGATCTCGCGGCGAGTGACGAGTTGCTATTATTCATCCTAAAAGCATTCGTTCCACAACCACTAAATGAACAACAGGCTTTCGTGTGTTCTAATGGGTATAGCTTTAAGATTACCTCACAGTGGTACAGTGATGTAATCCAGAATATCACAACACCCACAGAACACATTACAGATGCACTCAGTAAACGCTACTCTTAACTGCTTGATGTTTTTAGTCTGTGTGTAGTAGTGTCACACTTCCCACCAATGCACCCTACACACAGCGCTTTCCATCAAGTAGTTTATGACGAAAAATTAATTGTACTCTATGAACACCCTGCTTACTTAGTTCTCAATCTGTGACATCAGGGGATCATGTTTTGAATCCATGGAAGAGATTTAGAAGGTTACAATAACCATTCTAAACCACTTGTGGTAAAATAACTTCTGGAAGTGCTTCAACAGTTAGAAACAATGCTGGAATTCATATGTAGCTGCAGGAGGTAACTACTTTGAAAACCACTACAGTGCAGTATAGTACTCAAAATAGTGCTGACTGTAAGTACAGTCTCATTAGTTAAATATCATACTTCATACAGATATTATCATGCCATTTTTTGTCCCAAGGTCCGGACATTGTCTGGTGAGATGGATGTGTGGTATAACTTAGAGAAGCGAACCGACAAGTCTGCAGTGTCTGGAGCTATCCGCCTTCATATAAGTGTTGAGATAAAGGGTGAGGAAAAGGTGAGATTCCAGTCTTACTTGCTTAGACCATGTGTATGAGCTGCTCCTCTGATTTAACTGCGATCAGATGGATTTTCTATTTACTCCTGTGTACCTTATTCTCAATGAACCCAATCAAAACAAGCTCTTACACAGTTGACTGTACAATCCAACTCACTCTGTTTATATTCAGGTCAGGATGGATTGAAGTGTCCAGCCTAGTAGGGAGTGTCCTCAATCTTTATATGCATTTCGAGATAATTACATTGCTGGCAGGGTCGCTGTAGTATGCTTGCAGCAATGTGATATAAGTCTACATTATGACATAGAATGGTTCAGTACACTGAGATCTTTTCAGATGAGATCATGCATTTGAGTTTCATTTTCCTTTCAAGTTTAAACTTTTCTTTTGTCATAGGAGGCACCATTAGATTAGTAAATAATATGTTCAAAATAATGAATTCAAAATAGTTTCAACAAAGGTACAAGTTGACTAAGACTTCTCAACTGTGTATGTAACACATTGTCACCCTTTTGCAAAAAAATAATAATCACTTACAGACACTTGAAACATTGTCTGTTATTGGATTCACTAATTTCATTCCTTGGAATATTACTAATGATGAAATCCCGCCTTAAAAAATGTGAGTGATGCGAGTAAGCAAATAATAATATAAATTAAATAATTATATTCATAATCATGTACTTAAAACTTCAGCTCAATTTGGCATACATTAATATTCCACGTAGGCTGTGTAACAAACCCCACGGATTGCTGATGGAGAAGGCCTTCAAGAAGGGGAGGTAGCTGTGATTATACCGAATAATCAGTAGTGGACAGCCAACAAAGGGTGGTCTCTAGCATTGGAGTTGGGCTAACCTACATTTTTATGTAACTTGGTCACCTGCATTCTGTTTGACTGTGATTCATTCCAGGTATAATGAGATTGTGCATACAGTAGTTGAAGGATGACTGCTGACAATTCTGGATAGACACATTCAAGAAGCCACATTGTGTTATGTGTGGTCAGTTGTTTTATCCATTTACTGTACCTCACAAGTAATGAAAACATCAAACATTTCATTTTATATGTGTATTGTTGTGATACAGTTATATTCTTTGTAATAAAAGTATAACTAAAGGGTTTCACTGTCTGTTTTTAAGAGTAGCATGCAATGTTTTATTATGGAATGTATTCCATAACTGTTCATTATACTAACTCATGTATGTCTACTTCTTACAGGTTGCACCGTATCATGTACAGTACACATGTCTGCATGAAAATCTGTTCCATTCGCTGTGCGAGAAGTATGGTGGCATTGTGAAGCTGCCACAGGCTAAAGGTGATGATGCCTGGAAGGTTTACTTTGATGGTGTAGCTGAGGAGATAGTTGATGAGTTTGCTATGAGATACGGCATTGAATCTATCTACCAGGCCATGACGTGAGTGTCATTCAAAACTAGTCAAGTAATTAAGATTATTTAATTCTGATTCACATATTTCTGAACTTATATGTATTATAGTTTAATACACAAGTTATTAGACTCTGGCACCCAGGTCCAGTGGTGGGATAGCTGCTTTAGCTTCCAGACATGCCAGCAGCTGATTTAGCCCGGCCACCCTCTTTTGACATTATCAAGGAGAGTGGTCTGTCGAGAGCTAAGGCTTTGGTGACAATCACTGTCAGGTGTATTAAGGCTTGCAAGCTGTCCCACTACACTAAGGCAATGATATAGATGTATTCTGATTGTGTTATGCAACAATAAAGACATATATAATAAATATAAAAAGTAAATAAAAATAGCAAAAAATGTGTTTATGTATGCATATATATTTCATTTATTATTATTTTTCATTTTATCCAGTTATTCACACATACTGATATTGCCATCTAGATAAGTCTGGTACCTAACTTGAAAAATGTGTTAATAGTGTGTGAGGAATCTTGCGTTTAAAAATTTAGCAAATACCTGTACTTCAAAGGTACTACCCAGTAATCAAAATGCACTCGGCATTGTATCAGTGAAACAAATGTGTACGCAGCTGTATTCAGTACTAAAGAAAATAATTGGAGAGATAAGTTTGGTTTCTTTCCCCCATTTTGTAAATGAAGACTGTCTTGTACATATTCATTTTTCCTCTTGTAGGCACTTCCACTGTTTGTCAACAAAGTACCTATGTCCGTCTGTGCCAGCGGTGATGAGCACTCTTCTTGCCAACATTAATGCTTATTACGCACACACCACAGCATCATCTGCTGTATCAGCCAGTGATCGTTTTGCAGCTTCAAACTTTGGAGTAAGAATTTGTTAATGTGGACGTGTGACTTCCTTCGTAAAGGATCGCCTTTACTTTTGTTTGTGGTTGGACGGCTTATGTTGTGAGAGTGGTGTATTGTTATGCAGAATTTTACTTCACTTTTCAGTTATCAGGCATATGAACTACTGATTCATATCCACATTAGCTAGATATTAGAAATATCTACCAGACATTAACCACTGATTTAAACACACATTTAATTATGACAGAAAGGCACTTATGTGCACATATTACTAAAGTATTTAGATTGTGGTCTGGGTTGTTGCACCATTTAATCTTGTGGCTGTATATCAACTTTTCAAAGACAGCCAACATTGATAAACAATCACAGGACTACAGGATGTAGCAACCCAGAAGACCATAACCTGAACTTAAATTACCATGAAAAAACCTCAAATCCTACAAGTATGAAAATTATTGAGATATGCAATATGATATTGGGCCTGATGTTTAAGATACTCAGCTTCCATTGATACCAGTACTGAAGATGTCATAATATATAATTTTCAAACTGTTATATTTATTAAAAACCTTGACCATTAATTGGAACTGATAGTCAGTGCAAACTAGCACAAATATTACAGTTAATTACATCCAGTTTTCTTTCTTCCATTTTTACCCTTGATTATGATCGAGCAATATTTGATTATTTGTTGCTGAGACTTGAGTTATTAGTGGTATTTACACAGTTTTCTACTGTAAAATAAAGTTTGCTGTTTGAATTTAATTCCAGAAAGAAAAGTTTGTTAAGCTGTTAGATCAGCTGCACAACTCTCTGCGTATCGACCTGTCAATGTATCGCAACAACTTCCCTGCGTCGAGCGAGGAGAAGCTTATGGATCTCAAGTCTACAGTGGATTTGCTTACTAGCATTACCTTCTTTCGGATGAAGGTGCAGGAGCTGTCGAGTCCCCCCAGGGCCAGCACAGTGGTTAAAGACTGCGTTAAAGCATGCCTTCGATCCACATACCAGTTCCTGTTTGAGAACTGTTATGAGCTCTACAACAGGGAATTTCAGGTCTGCTTCATATTGAACCTGGCATTTTTGTAGAAATTAGCTACCACAAGATGCAAAGTCAACCCTTTCCATATTAAACTTAACTTAAAAAGTAAATGCTTTCAGTTTGTGTCCATTGTAGTTAATTATTATTTGCATTGATAACATCTGCAAAAGTTGTTTTGGAATGTGAAGAGGTGGTAGGAACATTTACATTCACTGATGTCAAACAGCAAAAATTTGTGGAATAGATGGAAGTGGCACTTCTGAACAAAGAATCTAGTTCATAGCATAGACCAGTGGTCCCCAACCTTTTTGTGCCTACTGGCACATTTGAGAGTTTATGAGATCGTGGCGGGCACCAACCAATTAACAAAGCCAAATTTTCTTTTCTCTGGACAAATAAGATATGGACACCAAATAATACGCAAAACAACACAACGTTCAATGATACAAGAAACCATGCAATCAAAAATACATACTTTTAAAAGTACAATTATTATTACTCAAGTGGGAAGTTAGTGTGATGTTTGGCGCTGCATTTCATTGGCCAGTTTTTCAAATTTGGGAGTATGGGATGGTGTTGCTGCTCGCAAACAATCGTCAAGTTGGGCGTCAGTAAGTTGAGATCTGCGCTTTGATTTTATAATGTTTGTGGTTTAACGGCCTTCATTATTCAGTATAACCTCTTTCCGTAACAATGCGGGCACCCAAAAAAGCCTTGGCGGGCACCATGGCGCTCGCGGGCACTGCATTGGGGATCACTGGCATAGACTGTGTTAGCTGTTAATTTAAACATTTAAAGTCTTTGCCTTGTTACATATTCACTTTCCTTTTAGAAAGGTCTGTGGATTGATGTTCGATGTATCTAGGGCACCACTCTTTACTGCTCTTACTCAGCCACAGCCCTGACTACCCCAGTCTCTACCAGATGCCGGGATAATAACTTGTTATACTCGGCCAAATGTGCCATTGGTACATTTCCTTGTATTGGGAAAACAGAAAAGCAAGCCTGAGTCAGCATTAAATCCATCAGTCATTATTCATGAGAGAGGTTTTTTGTAAGGTGTTGCTGGATTTCACATTTTATACACTGCATACATGTTGCGGTGATCAGTGGTTTCTTATCTGAGCTTGGTATATAAATTTGGCAGAAGTGTGGATTGTTTAGGTCCTGAGTGTTCACTCTGCCTCATTGTTTCAAATAAAGCCTCAGCTCAAGGAAAGAAAATCATCTGATACTTTG